TGATCATAGGAGTGGACGAAGTATTCGTGTTAAATTAATTATTTATTCTCATCGCCTTCACCACTATGGAACAACGTACGTCATTTCACAATGATACATCTTTATATATACTGGTATATTGTTATATATGTCTGTATGTGTACTACAGATGAAGAAATCGTTGTATACAATTGCAGAAATCATTTAAGAGGCATGATATTGGAATAGCGTCAGTAGTATTTATTCAATGTACGTCAAATACAGTCATAAATAAACATAAGGTAGTCAATTGAAATACAGTACATATTTTCTTTCATTAATATTGTCAAACTGCATGCCTATAAATATTCTATTTTGCGATTCATAACAACGAATTCATTATAGGCTCTGAGTTTATGGCATAAGATAGGACTATCTTGATATAAATTTTTTGTGGAAAGGTAATTACTTGAATCTATTTTAATTGTTGATATTTATGACCATAGATATAGTCCGTTCCCTTACTATTATAACTCAGAGTAACCTAATTGTTTAAGTTATCAAACTCAACTTATAAGGATTCTTAGGTGTTTGTCACGTCTTCAATATTGTCCAAATCTACACTGTATCAACAGACTAATACCATAGATATTTAATTTTTGTCAAAAATACAGCAGCAGATAATATTATGTACTAATATAGTAAATATACATTTTAATAAGCTTACTAATATATTTATATTATATTGTTATATTTCAACAGTTTATACCTGGCGTCACACACATTATTGTTCTTGCAAAAAAACTTTATCGTCTACGGACCAGGGAATAAGGAGTATAACACTGTCATTAGCGAACACCACACACTCTTCTCAACACCAGTACCACGCCCTCTATAATACTCACCACTATAATACCCCAAACAAACATCACAAACATAGCCCTTCCAAAAACTTCACACATACATGTTCACCATCCTCTCTATTTTCATCCACTATTTCGTCATCAATAATAATTCGATACGTAACACAAACTTGCATTTGAGTATTTAATTGAATATATTACATCTTAATTCAAAGGTGTTTTCGATCCACACACGTTCGTTTGATTACGCAATAAAATAAAGCTCTGTCCACACTATCCCCTTTTATGCGACATGTGATTTTGCCATTACTTCCATCGGATGTCATATCACACGGGCAAATCATAATTTGTCATAAAAGCTTGATAGCGTGGATAAAACATGATACAGGAAAGTCAATTGTTTACTTGCCTTTGCAACATATCGAAATAAAATTCAACAAAATATTTTGGTGGTGAAGGCATCGAAACGTACTTGGTGTTAGGCATTTAATTCGGCGTTACCTTAATTGAAACTCATAATATTAATTACGTCATACGTATGTGGAATTCATTTTCCCCGTTGACCTTACCATTTCAATTTTTACAACTCTTGGCAAATCGTGAGTTGGCGGAGGGATTAAGTGATCTTGTTGAGGCGGGATGTATCGTGGCCATTTAAGCTTTCTCGAAAACGAAGACGCACGACTTCTGTCAGTAAGATCCGAGGCAAAACTCGCAATGGATCTAAAACTTGAATGTCTACTTGTGCGACCAGTATAGTAACTACTACCACTTAGCCGAAAATCACTACCTCTCATGAACACGGGATTATCGTATGTAAAGACACTACCATTGCTTATCACGGATAATACATCCGCGTTATCAAAGTTGTAGCTTTGTTGAAACGCATGCGCAATGTCTCTTTCTGTGTCGGCTATTTCATGATACATTGGTCGTTTTCTGCAGGAGTTCAACTCGTCTGCGATTGAGCTTCTAAGCGTCGAGGACAGCGTATGTGCAACATGGAGATTTTTAGCAATTGAATCTTTTAAGTCTGCAAAATTGTTCGTAGATGTCGCAGTAAGACAACTGTTGATACTACGCAAGCTGTTCCTATCTCGTGGGGGCCTTTTCCTAACATTGCTAAATCTGTCTAAACTTTCTGTTCTTGTAAGTTGATGAAGGTCGAGTCCATTGACCGCTAATACTGGACCTGTCTGATATAATACACTGTTTCCTAGGGTCATGGTACCAGTTTCGTCCAATGCAGTATCTCTTGAAATGTCTACGTCATCATTACCGGTTGAAGACGAAGACATGTCTACGTCACATCCGCTGTCTTGTCTCGCATCTCCGTCCACTTGTAGTTGTTCCAGTTTTTCGCGTGCGTTCTGTACATGTTCTTGCATCGTTTTGATGGTTTCATCTTTCTGCAGCAGTAAAAAGAATGAAAACATGAGAATGTCCACGCTACTTTATAGGAAAGGAAAACACAATAGGCTACTAAAAATAATATAAAAAAGATTATTCATATATATATATATTATTAACAGAAAACAAATCTTCTAACCTCGGATAAGGACTTTTTGAGCGCTACATTTTCTGCCGATAACAAAAACAATTCCTCTTCAATTTTGTTGAAAGAAGCGTTTCCTGAGCATGCCAGGTACGATGCTGTTATAGCTCTTGATAAGTTGGCTTGTGGGTTTTCCTTCCAAGCTTTCAACTTTAGAAATAATAATTTAAAAAAAAATAAAACACTTTGGTGGTGTACGAAATTTATTATAAATCGTAGAATAAATCAAACCCTCTTTGAACCCATTGCAGTTACATCACTATTACGTGCTTAATGTTTGTAAAGATTTAGGATTAATTAATAATAATACGAATAATGAACACAAAAGCATGCATGGCCATTGGCTTCTCACAATATTGAATGCGCGTAAATCGGAAGAGCGTACAGTAGATACGCGTAAAGCGGATGCGCGTTCTCCAGCGTGCGTAAAGCGGAAGAGCGTATTTTTGCGCGCTTATTGAGAGTTCGCTGGTACCGTACCTATAGCAACTAGTCTACGTGTCTTTACCATAGAGGTATAATAAGAATACTAGAGCGCTAACCGCAATGTATTCGATGTTCGAAATACGCAGACCTGTGTGTGTGTACCATCCAAGATGGCTACCATAGATTTAGCCAACCAAATTTCGCTAAGCGCCATCGTTTGCAAATGCGCCCTCAATTTACTCAGAAAGTTCAGTACAGCTAGTTACATGTATGTTTGAAACTCGAGCGTTGCGGTGTTTGGGTGTAATGTATACGATTTTAAACATCTAGATGTGTATAAGAGACAGATTTACTTTAACTTCGATTGCTGCTTTAAGGCCGGTTCCCACTGAACACGATCAAGCGAATTTCGCGTCGAAATCCGGGCGCGCGCTACTAAATCGAAGACGCGACTTGCGTTTCCAATAGCCTGGTTCTCACGAGATCCCTAGTATCCGGATCGGGAGCTAACCGTTAGCGCTAACCGTTAGCACCTGAAACATATTATTACACACACATACATCTGTCTCTTATACACATCTTTATTATTATTTATTATTATTTATTATTATTATTATTATTATTATATAGATATAGTGGCATAAAAAATTGCAACCTGCAAATTTATGATATGAAACAGAAATCAAATTGAGGATATCCTAGCACTAGTGCTTACACGGCGTGTTAGCGCTCGAGTCTGATATGCGTGCCAATAACAGATCTAGGCCTACTCCCAAGGGTTCCAACCGTCACATGTCGGGCTCTAATGGAGTTTTGAGCCCAAGTGTATCATTGAATATTTCAAAGGTATTATGAGCTCAGTGTGATTGCCTGGTATAATGTAATAAACCTTATATAACAATCTGAAATCCAACACTATTTGACCTGTTTTGTGTTTAAAAGGTTAAAATTGGTTCATTCCCAGGTAAACACTTTTAATCCTAAGGGCGTATTACAGACTCATCTATCATAGTATGTACGAAAGTTATAACATGGTTATAAGCATGTGTATTCTTTTCATATATATGCCGAAAGAACTGCCGTTCTCTAATGTTTAAAATATTCGGTAAATATGTCTTTTACTTACTATTTTTATTGTAAAATATGATAAAGCGAGATAAAAATTGGTTCATTCCCAGGTAAACACATTTAATCCCAGGAGAGCGTATTACAGACATCTATCGTGTAGGAAGTAAGTATTCTTTTTATATCTATGCCGAAAGAACTGTAAATATGTTTTTACTTACTATTTTAATTGTAAAATCTGATAAAATGAGTAAACATTAACATACATACCGTTCTTTTCACACTTGCACTTTTGAAGATCGTGTGGACCCGCCACGATTTACTGAATATTGTCCCATAAACTAATGTGAAACCAATAGTTAAACACCATACTCGTGCCTAGAAAAACCAATGCAATAAATAACTTCCTTTATATGACTACTCCATCAGTGACGTGGGCCTTGTCGTCGTAATCATCATTATTATCATCATCAGCAACAACAGCGACGTTGTCATATCATCATCAATTTCAGTGTCTTCATTTCCGTTGCTCATCATCATCATCGTCATTCTTCATCGCTACGGACCATGACGTCATTAATTTCAACAATTATTCAGCGTCGTCCTATCAAGAATTTCTAACTTTAAAGTTAACAGTCCTTGATCATATCATCAGGGTCACCATCACCAACAGCTTCTCCGTCATCATCATCATGACTATCATCATTGTCAATGTCAATATTATCATATCAGCCTTGTCGTCATCGTCTCTCTTCTTTTGAGTTAGACACAGACACATAAACTCGATCTATTATTATTTCTGCTATGCATTTAAATGTAAAACCCCTAAAAAGATCAATCGTTGAGCGATACTGAATTACGTGACATTAATTTCATGTAGCCTAAGATTATACCTGACAGAATCCCGTGAGTAATGTATCCGAGCCACTGCCAACGCCCTCTATTCCAAACAAAACTGGGCATGCGTAAAGACTGATTGCTCCCAATTGCATTATAACATTAAGGTTTGGGCTTGACATCTTCACAATTCTGAAAAGAAACAAAAACAAATTAATATTAAAATTAAGAAGAAAAACAATAAAATAATAATATAATTAAAAATATTAATATTAAAAATATTATTAATAATAACATAATAACAATATCCACTTAGTGCAGTTACTCCTTGGGGTACATACCCCGGCCCCGCCTTTTTGCCTGAACACACACGCATGACGTTTGTGGCCGATTCCATTAAAGTTTTAAAAATTTCTGTGATCTTGACCTTTTCCTGACCTTTTAAAGCCAAAATTTAATCACCTCTCCTTAGATCAATATTTAACACTCCATTACCTTTTATGCTAATCTATTCATTAGTTTTTGAGAGGAATACATGAATGAAATGAAAGATGTTAATTGATTTATTGTGAAAACGAGTTGAATTTAGATAGTTTTTTTTTCTCTTTTGTGGGGATTTCACCCACCTTATTTAGATAGTTTCCATGATCAACCTTAATTCCTGAAACACGGTTATGACGTCTGTCCTACTTTGCTATTAATGATGATCCATATGATGATAATTACAACGTTTGAATTCGAATAACATAGATTTATAAAAATGTAAGACACATGATTATCGAGGCGATATCATTAAAATGTCTTAAATCAACTTCCGAAAATCTCAATTCTAAATTGTATCGTCGTGATAAAACTTTTGCGTTTTGTATCCAATATTTTCTGCTGTGAACTTTTGAAATCGTAACTTTGTAGGCCTAATTGTATGTAATAACATTTGCTTTAATTTATTTATGTGCGGTTGGCTATGGGGTCGGTTGCTTAGGGGACTTATACAAATTTCATCTATTACTATTATTATTATTATTATTATTATTATTATTAGGGCTATTATTTTTTGACCTATTGCATATTTTTTGTATACACAAACATATTATTACACACACATACATTCA